TTCCTAGGGAACCATCTTTGTCTCCTCTAAATGTTAAAAACGTCCTTAATCAATAATATAAAATGCTGAAACCCTAATATTTTTATGTACAATTCTTTTAAAAACCACGTGTTTTACCCTTTTTCCGAAGGTATGTGGAATACATTGCTTTGGAAGGGTCCCAAATACACCTCTAGTGTCAGTGCCACAAACCCAAAATTGTTTCATCCGATTAGAAAAAAATAAACTCCTGGGGCAGTGTCAACTTGTGTGTGGTGAGCAAATTGGTGAAGGTATTGTAAAAATGAAAGGGTTCCTTTTGGGTTTCCCTTTACTGGTTCCATAAAGTTGGTAAAAGGGTTTGTTATAAAATGAACTAAATTTTTTCAGAGCATAGACATATTGACTTTTTTAAGATTTTTTTTGTAATTCTGATGCCATTGATCCTTGATAATGGGGCCGTTTCATTTACTTAAGTATTTTTTTACTCTTCCTAAAAATTTTGAAAATATACAGTATTCTAACATTCAGGTGTGTTGTCTAGAATTTGGTCCCCCCATCCTCATCCCTCTACCCCTGTGCCCAGTAAGTCTTGGCCCCCCTGTATCGTCCCTTTTTCCACCGGGGTTATTTTTGACTTTGAGACATGGGTATCAACTACATTCACCTATTTAACAGAATTTTTTTGGAGTGAGAGATTGGGGGGAAGGTAAAATAATTTCCCGTAGGAGCAGGGGGCGTGGGGGGCAATGGGAAAAAACCAACATCCAGGGTCCCAGTTTTTCAACATCTTTCCAGAAGATATCAGAAACACTGCTGGAACAAGTGGTTTTAAGCCTTCAAGAGGGAAAATAGACGTATCTTCACCCGGTGCCAGATCAACCCGGCTGTGATGGGTATGGGGGAGGGGGAAAAATGGTTGAAGGGGAAGATGATATGGGGGGAGGGAGATTTTTAGTTTTGGAATGGGATTTGTTATTTGTTTTGTTTAAAAGGGTATTTTAGGTGTTAATTAAATTTGAAATATTTTATGTTTTGGGGGGTTTTTTTTTTTTTTTTTTTTTTTTTTTTAAAATAGGTCAATCTTAATATTAGGGTGTATGTTCTTTTCTCGCAAAAAATCCAATTTTATAACCATTCGAGTTTTGAGAATCTTTATATGCCTTAGTTATGAATGAAAAATTTCAAGGGATCTTCAGTATAAAAACCCAAGCTACAGATGAGAATTACAGTAGGGCCCCCTTTTGGGATTTTGCAATAGAATTTCAAATTATGCCGAAGCTTGTTATACGGCTCCCCCCTCCCACCGACTCACTAATATGGCCCCTGCATGCCATGTTTTACATCCCCGTGGCTCTGCATCCTCCGTTGTCTAGAAAACCCTTTCCCGAATTTCAAGTGTTGCAAAGTTATTGCATATTTTATATATTTTAACATCAGCCATTTTCCCACTGAGGGGGTGGCCCCCCCCCCCCAAAAAAAAAAATTTCTCTTTTCAAATTTATAATGTATACAAAAAGGGGGGGGTTTCTAGCCCCTTCCCCCTGGCATTTTAGTCGACTCTTCGACCCCATGGCTTACGGGGAAGAATTTTGTTCCACTTCCCCAAAGGAGAATATTTGTATCTTCTTTCAAACACCGGCCGTTCCCCCCTGAGCAGGGGGCCCAAAAAAGGAAAAACGGGAAAGGGTTTTTCCTTTTCATTTATAAAATTTTACGGAGAAGAGGATATTTGCCCCTTGTCCTGGCATTTTAGTCGCCTCTTTCAACACGCATGGTTATGGGGGAAAAATTTTGTTCCATTTCCCCCTGGGAAAATATTTAATACTTGATAAATTTTAGATGTGTACCTGCATCTAAAAAATTTGTGCTGCCATGCAGGTACAGTAGCATTAAAATCACTGAGTGTTCCCCTAGTCTTTATGCCATATTAAAAAAATTGCAGAGGTCGGGACGAATTGGGAATGTGTGTAAATAGAAAGTTTGGGAAAATGAAAATAGAAAAGAGTAAAGTGTGAGAGTATCAAATGATTTTGATAAAGAAAAATTGGATATCAAATTTAGGAGGGGAGTATGGAAAATGATGTTTTTAGAATTTTTTGGGGGTTTCGTGTCGCGGATGGATTTTCGAAGGATGGTTTAAACATAGAATTGATGAAGGAAAAAAAAAGGGGTGGGCATTGAGGTTATGTGAAGGCAAAAAATTTATCTATGGGGGGCAAAGAAGGGGGTGATGAAGACAGTGGGGTCCCCGCTTAACGTACCTCCCAAAAGCGACCCAATTTTGTAAGTGTATTTTTTGTAAGTGCGTTTGTACTGTTGTTTGGGGGTCTGAAAGGGGCTAATCTACTTCACAATTTCCTTATGGGGAAAAAATTCTCAGTACTGGCACCCCAACATATTCTGGAAGAAAAAAAAATCGTTAACCGGGGGGCCACTGTTTTTTGGGCCCAAAACACTTTTAGGGTGTGAAGTTGGGGTTTTAATGCTGCAGCGAGGGGTGGTTTGGGGGTAGTGGAGATGTCCGTCAAGAGCAATGTTGGTGCAACCCTAGCAAAAATTCGGGGTGTGGGAAAATTTGGAAAGGTGTGGAGTTAAAAATTTAGCAGAGGGTGGAAAAGGGTTTGTTGAGGTGGTTTTTGGTCACTTAGAGAGAATGGATCAATTAGATTTACATGGAGGTATAAAAACTAAGGGGGGAAGGAAAGGGGGGGGGGTGTCCTCGAAAAGGGGAGGGGGGGGGCAAAGGGGTGTTGTGGGCGAGGGGTTTGGACTTCCGAAGCGTGCTGAGCGTGTTAGATAGGGTGAATGGGACAAATTGGGATTGGGGACCTGACGCTGTTGGAGGGAGCAGGGGAATATTTTGTGAAGGGTTAGGGGAAAAAGTTATTTTATATAACCAGAATTGAGTCCTGGAAATGGGAAGTACAATGCCTGCACTCTAAAGGAGGGGTTTGGGATATTGGCAGTTTGGAGAGATATATTGTGTATTTTTATATGTATATACTTCTAAACTGTTGTATTCTGGGCACATCTTCAAAAACAGTGATTATGTGTGAGTGAGGTGAAATTGTTGAATGATGATGAAAGTATTTTCTTTTTGGGGATTTTCTTTCTCTTTGGGTCACCCTGCTTCGGTGGGAGACGGCCGACTTGTTAAAAAAAAAAAAAAAGTAATAATAATTGCTCTGGGGCACATTAAATGTCGTATATTATGTTAATATAAACATTTTCATTAATCCATCTATGATATTTTTTCAAAATTATATAAGAAACATGATACATCCACAGTAGAATAAATTTGACATCAGTATGAAATGTGGTAGCCTGGCAGCTTGTTGGAATGACAGCAAGAATTACGTTTTCTCAAGTCCAACACCAGAGAAAATGTGTACACTAGTATTACTGAGGGTAACTGTAGAAAATTATTCCTTTCGTATGCCTTCATTTGTAGCTTATTATTTATTCTACTGCACTAACGTGAAGACAACTTGTACACAATGTAAATGTTTGTATTGCGGGGTAAATGCTTCACCAACTCGTGCATTATTATTATTATTATAATCAAAAAGAAGCGCTAAGCCACAAGGGCTATACAGCACTAACTCGTGCAAATGTACTTTTTTCTTTCAACAAACCAGCCGTATCCCACCGAGGCAGGGTGACCCAAAAAGAAAAACAAAAGTTTCTTTTTAAATTTAATAATTATATATGGGAGAAGTGGTTAATAGCCCCTTGTTTCCTGAATTTTAGTCACCTCTTACAACAACACGCATGGCTTACCGAGGAAGAATTCTGTTCCACTTTCCCGTGAAGATAAGAGGAAATAAACAACAAGAACAAGAACTAGTAATAAAACAGAAGAAAACTCAGAGGGGTGTGTATATATGCTTGTACATGCATGTGTAGTGTGACCTAAGTAAGTAGAAGTAGCAAGACATACCTGAAATCTTGCACATTTATGAGAGAGAGAAAAGATACCTGCAGTCCTACCATCATGTAAAACAATTACAGGTTTCTGTTATACACTCGCTTGGCAGGACGGTAGTACCTCCCTGGGCGGTTGCTGTCGACCAACCTGCTTCCTAGGAGAAATGTACTTAAACGAACCAAAAGTAGACAGGTATTAATATGCGTTTTATCTGACCAAGTGACTCCCCTTACGCATTCGTCTGTTTCTCTACGTTCTTGGTATCCCTCATTTACTCGTTCTCTCTCATTTAGGATAGTATCTAAGGGTAGTTGTTAGAAATGATTAAATTCAGTGAAAAAGTTATGTCGATGGTAATAATAATAATAATCACTCTGGGGGACTTTAAATTTAAGTCATATATTTCATGTAGTTATGGTAGCTGGTGTGGGAGCTGCCACACCTGACTTCCTACAATAAATACTACTCGCCTCTTACCCTACATTAAGACTACAAATATTTTAAGGTGAGTAATGAATGAACTGTGTATTTATTTTACCTTTTATTGTTTTTTAATGCTTAGTTCTACTATTAACTTAATATATGTTTGTGTAAACTTATCCGGCATTCATAAGTGGAAAAAATGGCATTTCACCTTACGGCAATTTCCGCTTTTGGTGGTAGCCTGGAACGTAAAATGCTGTATAAGTGGGGCTCTACTGTATTAGACCAATTGAGCTGTTGCAGTGAAGTACAGGCACTCCTCACTTATCAACTGAGTTCTGTTCCATACTTCTTCCATTCTTTCCTCTTCTTCCTCTTCCAAGTGCTGCTGCGCTTCCAACTGTATTAAATCTTCGTTAGTTAGCTGTTCCTCGACACATTCCACTAATTCTTCAATATCTTTCACTTCAACCGACTGGTTGGAGAGCTGGTCATAAGTCTGCATGATCGTTAAACAGGTAGGTCGTTAAGTGAGGAATGTCTGTATGTCACTTTATACCTTAAAAAGCACTGGAAATGATAGTACATACTATATAACAATAGTCTGATCTCTTATGGGGGTGTGGAATTATTTGTAAAAAATTATATAGGGATTATTAAGATTTAATTAGTACATTACTTAAATTCTCATTCTAAGGTGGCATTGATGGTACAAGAACGTTTTGGTCGTCACTTGCTTGAACTCGGCGGGAATAATGCTATTATTGTGGATGAAGATGCTGATCCTGAGATGGTTGTGAGAGCAGCGCTGTTTGCATGTGTTGGTACTGCTGGACAGAGATGTACCACAACTCGGAGACTTATACTGCATGAGACTGTAAGTTGCATTGTGGGTCATTACAAAATAGCTTAAGACTTTATAGTGGTTGAGGACAGTTTTCTAATCAGTGTTAGTTGTGAAATTATTCCAGCCACAGTATTAATGCTTTTATTCATTTTGAAGAAAGCAGGACTGCTGGTTTTGAAAAAAGGGGATGTGGTTTCATAGCTTTAATAATGAAAATTTAAATTGAGTAAAGAATTTGGAACACTTATGGGTGGGGAAAGTAAGTTAGTTTGATTTGTGTATAATTTTTAATAAAAAAAGTAAAATTAATGGTAAACTATTTCAGCTCTACGACACAGTAGTGGATCGTCTGGTCAAGGCATATGGCAGTTTCATGCCACGTATTGGAGATCCTTTAGAAGATGGTGTACTCTATGGACCTATGCATTCACAGCAAGGTGTTGATGGCTACCTAACAACCATTGAAGAAGCACAAGCTCTTGGAGGTATTTTGTTTATATTGTTACAGCCTATTTCTTATGAATTCATAATTGTAAGAACACGGGTATGCTTGTAGTGCCATCTTAAGAGTGATTTATCTTAAGTTGTTAGTTTCCAATACCTCTTTGAGTACATTTCAGTTTTTTTAGTGTATCATTTGTATTTCCTGTATCCTTATTAAAACTTGCTTGTTTTTGTATCTTCTCTTTTTTCCTCTTATATTGAAATGAGGGTACTTATTTTCAGGGCTTTCAATTATCACTAATAATTTGCATTTCCTGACTCAAAAACTTTTTATTTTTTATTTTTGCACAGTACAGTACATGAAATTTGCTGACACTATAATACATGTGATTACACTGCTTTCTAATTTTGGTACTGCTGTTTTTTTTCTAGCACAAAGAAGGGTCTTCACAAATACGGTATCTCGTCCTTTTGTTTTCTGCCATTTATTACTTAGTGACAGATGTGTTCAGAAACATCCATTATACAGTATATAAATTAAAAAAAACATTAGATGTTTTTGTACTTAACCCTTTCACTGTTGAGACCTCTGATCACAAACTTCCTCTGTGTCGAAAAATTGAAAAAAAAAAAAAAAATACAGTAGTATACAGTGGACCCCCGCCTTACGATCAGCTCCCAACTCGACCAATTATGTAAGTGTATTTTTGTAAGTGCTTTTGTACGTGTATTTTTGGGGATCTGAAACGGACTAATCTAATTCACAATATTCCTTATGGGAACAAATTCGGTCTATAACGGCACCTGAACAGACTTCTGGAATGAAATAATATTATAAGGCGGGGGTTAACTGTATTTTCTCCTACCAAAATCTTAAGAATATTTTTCTGGGATTTTAAAAGAAAAAAAAATTTTTGCGATTAGTATTTACCAAAACAGAGGTGTAAAATTGACGAAGTGAACCATTGACTGCAACATCAGCAACTGCCACTCACTCGGTAATATTATTTTTTACTTTTATTCTAATTTTTTCTTTTCAAATATTTTATTTTTTTCAAGTAACTTTTGTGGCCTGTGAGACCAATATAATACATAGTGTGTGTGTGCGCGTGCGTGTGTGCGTGTGTGCGTGTGTGCGTGCGTGCGTGGGTGTGTGCGTGTGAGTGCATGTGAGTGTGTACATGTGTGTGTGTAAATTCACCTAATTGTGGTTGCAGGGATCGAGGCTCAGCTCCTGGCCCTGCCTCTTCACTGAGTGCTACTAGGTCCTCTCTCTCCCTGCCCCATGAGCTTCTTCATACCTCATCTTAAAACTATGTATGGTTCCTGCCTCCACTACCTCACTTGCTAGGCTATTCCACTTCCTGACTACTCTGACTGAAGAAATACTTCCTAACATCCCTTTGACTCATCTGGGTCTTCAACTTCCAATTGTGACCCCTTGTTTCTGTGTCCCCTCTCTGGAACATCCTGTCTCTGTCCACCTTGTCTATTTCACACAGTATTTTGAATGTCGTTATCATGTCTCCACTAACCCTCCTGTCCTCCAGTGTCGTCAGGCCAATTTTCCTTAACCTTTCTTCATAGAACATTCCCCTTAGCTCTGGAGCTAACCTTGCACTATCTCTAATTTCTTATGTGCTTGATAAAGTGTGGGTTCCAAAGAGGTGCTGTATACATCAGTATGGGCCTGACGTACACCGTGTACAGTGTTTTGAACGATTCTTTACTAAGGTATCTAAACGCTATTCTCAGGTTTGCCAGGTGCCCATATGCTGCAGCAGTTATCTGGTTGTGTGCTTCCAGAGACGTGTTCGATGTTATACTCGCCCTAAGATCTTTCTCCTTGAGCAAGGTTTGCAGTCTTTGGCCACCTAGCCTATACTCCGTCTGTGGTCTTCTTTGCCCTTCCTGATCTTCATGACTTTGCATTTGGCGGGGTTAAATTCGAGAAGCCAGTTGCTGGACCAGGTGTCCAGCCTGTCCAGGTCTCTTTGAAGTCCTACCTGATCCTCATCTGATTTAATTCTCCTCATTAACTTCACATCTGTGAACAGGGACACTTCTGAGTCTAACCCTTCCATCATGTCATTCACATGTACCAGAAATAGCACCAGTCCTAGGACCAACCCCTGTGGGACCCTGCTCATCACAGGTGCCCACTGTGGTAACTCATCATGTACCATGACTCGTTGTTGCCTCCCTGTCAGGTATTCTCTGACCCATTGCAGTGCCCTTCCTGTTATACGCACCTGATCCTCTAGCTTCTGCACCAATCTCCTGTGAGGAAGTGTGTCGAAGGCCTTCTTGCAGTCCAAGAAGATGCAATCGACCCACCCCTCTCTCTCTCGTGTCTTACTTCTGTTACTTAAAACTCCAGTAGGTGTGTGCGCGTGTGTGTGTGTGTGTCGTGCGTGTGCATGCGTGTGCGCGCGTGCGTGTGCGTGCGTGCGTGTTCATGCGTGTGTGCATGTGTGTGTGTGTGCATGCACGCGCACATGTATGTACTCGCGTAATTGTGGTTTCAGGGGTCGAGACTCAGACTGTGTGCACGCACACATATACACATACACACAGTACTAATAAGCCTTCTATTAGGTTTTGCATATCTCTAATAGCTGCTTAGGTTAGTCTCTTCTTTTCAGGTAAAGTTTTGTTTGGTGGTAAAGTTCTTGACCGAGATGGTTACTACGTAGAGCCAACCATTATTACTGGCTTGCCTCACAACTCTCCTGTTGTTCAGAGAGAAACTTTTGCCCCCATTGTGTATGTTCTTAAGTGTACCTCGGTTGATGAAGGTATCAAATGGAACAATGAAGTGAAGCAGGGGCTCTCTTCGTCTCTCTTCACTCAAAATCTCGCTAATGTGTTTAAGGTATGTAAAATATTACTTTTATTTTTTCCCCCTTTTATAAGTTTGTTATATATTGTGTATGGGTATATAACTCTGCTAAAACTAGCAGATTGATACTTGTGGTATCCCATCTTCATTTTTTGGTATGCTCTTTTTCTCCTATTGGCCAGTGAAGATACAGTATCGAGTGTTCAGCCAGTTTTCATATTTTGGACCAAATATATACATGAGAGAGTTATTCTCAGACTGTTTATAGACTTGTTTTATTAAAAAAATTATTGGAGGCCACAACACTACAGCTGCATGCATTACGTTCTCGCCTCGCTTAACGGTGGGGGTTCCATTCCTAAGAGTAAGTTGGTAAGCAAATTGGTCATTAAGTGAGGAGCATAATAAATTAGTAGTGGGTTTATGTCAACCATCTCTAGATATTTTTTTAATGTCACCTTTGCACCATTTATAACATTTCTAGTATATTTTTAAACGATTATACAGTAGTGTACTGTATGCTGCAATAAACAGAATAGAGGAAATCTGCTCTAATATACACTACTTAGGTTGCATACTGGTTGGAGAGCTGGTTGTAAGTTCGTCGTCAGTAAATGAGTACGTTGCTAAGTGTAGAGAGGCCGTATTCCCATTTTTGTCCGACATAAATTTTGAGTAACTTTTCTAATATTTTCTAGTCATATATGGTATATGATGGCTAGATATTTTAAAGTTTATCATATCTGATGACAGTGTTTATTCATAATTTAATGCTCTGCATTAGATTCCATGCATCTATCTGGCTTTCTGAATTCATCAGTCTTCTTGTACAGAGTTCATAGTTTTAGCTCTTTACAGTACTATATGTAATTCTTACATCATCTACAGTGTGCATATTTTTTTATTTCTTCAAATCTCGTACATAATGTAATTAAATGTTATCATAGCAAGTGCAGAGCCTTGCTGCTGGCATTTTTTCCACAAACATTTTTTTCTCTGTGTTCATTTTCCTTTTTTTTTAACAAGTCAGTCGTCTCCCACCGAGGCAGGGTGACCCAAAAAAGAAAGAAAATCCCCAAAAAGAAAATACTATCATCATCATTCAACATTTTCATCTCACACACACATAATCACTGTTTTTGCAGAGATGCTCAGAACACAACAGCTTAGAAGCATATTTTCCTTTTATATCTCTTATTTTATATATTAGCTTTTTATAGATAACTGTCAAGCCTTTTTGAAAATCTAAGTACAGAAGTAGAAAATGCCCATTTATTTTGTTGCAGAATAGTTTGTTTACATAGCTGTGTTATAACCCATCATCACACCTCGCTCTGCAAAACAAAAACCAAATAGTTATATAATTTTGCACTGTTGTTACTACATATTTGAGTATGCACTGAGTTTTTTAGACACACATACAGGAAAGTCCTCACAGCCACAAAAATGCATTCCAGAGCAAACTTAAAATAAGAAAAATTTACACTTAGCACAGCCCATTCTCCTGTAGACTTGCTTTATGAATGGGGGCACCACTTATCTGTGCACTTAATTTACCACCGGCTAAAACAGGCAAGACAGATTTCTGCTGCCATGCATCTTGCTTGTGTTTATCACTTTTTTCTTTTCTCATGATCTCTTTCTTTCATCTTATGTCAACAGTTGGGTTCCAAATTACCTGTAGGTAACAAATGTGCATGTGAATGTATCATGAATTTTTTTTACGAAGCCTGATTAGTTTAATCATGCATGGTAATGACGAGAAATAGGGCACTTCTATATACATCTTGTGTGATAAGCATAGTACTCATTTTTTTTCAATCAACAGTGGTTGGGACCTAAGGGTTCTGACTGTGGTATCATCAACATCAACATACCTACAAATGGTGCTGAAATAGGTGGTGCTTTTGGAGGAGAGAAGCACACTGGTGGAGGCCGAGAGAGTGGCTCCGACTCTTGGAAGCAGTACATGCGTCGCTCAACTTGTACCATCAACTACACCAAAAATCTTCCTCTTGCTCAGGGTATTAAGTTTGAGTAGCCCAGAGAACTCTTCAAACAGTGTTTGAAAGTTATGTGAGAATATTAAAAATACAGCTATGAAAGGTTACATATTAAATGTTTACAAAATTTTTATCAGAAATCATTGTGAAAAGGGAATGTTTAAAAATACTTATTGTAACAGTGTACCATGAAGCTTCTATTGATGTAGCTTCAAGTCTTTTATATGTAAAATATGATATTGTACAGTCTTGACCTCAATTATTGTTCAGAGTATTTTATATATTGAACTGTACAAGCTAATTTTCTACGTTTTTGTAAAATGCTTTTGTACCTACCAGTAGTGAGATTCAATAAATTTGATAATTTAAGTTTTTTCTTAAAAATGCTTTGGTCAAACTGAAGGCATCACATGTGGGTATAAGTGAACATTTTTCTCTTAGCTTTCTTTCCCTGCCTAAGCTTACCATCAATCCTTTTGGCCTTCTCTACTCTTCTCTCCTTCAGTTGTGACTTGATAGTGGTCTTGAAACATCGTCATGAGGATCCACTCTCAAGTGCAGAATTTTGGTGATTTTAAATGAATGTTCCATAAATGTATGTTGTGCATACAAAGAAAGAGCAGTTAAGGAACACTTGCCAACATTGGTTAGCCTGTCATAATAAACAAAATGGGGGCATTGTATGTTGGGGTGGGGGGGCATGGGCGGTAAGCACAGTTTACCTCAGGAATCTACTTTACGAGAGATGTTTTTGATTGGGGGTTGCAATGTTAATAATAATAATAATAATATACAAAAATAATTAATTTCAGACATGACATACATTATTATATTTTTAAGAATCTGTAGATACCTAACCCTTTCACTGTTGAGACCCCTACTCACAAACTTGCTCTGTGTTGAAAAATTAAAAAAAAAAAAAAAAAAAAAAAAATCTCATGAAATGATAAGAGAATCTTTTCCCAATAGCATTGACACCAAAGGTACAAAATTTGATGGAAAATTTATGGAATTACACTCGCAAAGTTAGCAGTCTTGGCGATATTTACGCATCAGCGATTTTGCCCACTTTGAGCCCCATTTTCGACCAATTCTATTGTTCCAGTCTACCAATCTCATAGCTATTTCACTAGAACTCCATTTGTTCTATCGATTGAATACAAGAAACCACTTGTGTACTGATTTCAACTACCCAATAAAGTGATCAGAAATTATTAATTTGGCCAATTTCATACACAATTCAAGTAAGGCCAATTTCAAAATAGGGGCAAGAATAAACAATGAAGACATTCCTAGCACTAAAATAACATTTCTCTGTTCATTACTCATGTCTCCAGGCCCCTCTTTTAATACGCTTGCTTTCCATTTTGAATTTTTTTATTCACAAAAATAGAAGATTTACTATTATTGAGACTACTGCATTATTGTAGAAATGGTATAAATATCAGTGCATTTGTGAAAGAACAATAGACTTGCCAGTTGACGTGTATTGGACGCGTGGCGTAATTTGTTTACTCTTGAACATCATTAAAAATCGAACATTTCTGCTACTTTGAGCTCAATTTCAAGGTACTTTTAGTCCAAAACCCATTCAAAATCATTTCAGTTCTGTAACACAGCTTCCATTCTATCAAATGAGACCAAGAAAACGTGAATAAGACTATAAATACCATACGAAAATACCACGAAGTATTTTATACCCAAATTTTTTTTTTTTTTTTTTTTGAGAGTTAAGACACTTGTGCGACATCTGGTTATCTTTATTGTAGACGTTTCGCCATCCAGTGGCTTTATCAATACAGATTCTTGGACATAATTAGAAAACAGAAGAACTATATACAAAAGATGAGGTAATCAGTCCCTCAGCCCTGGAGGTGGTGTTCACAGCACCATGGTTGTAGAGATTCTGAAGCACAGGTAAGAAGACTGGCGCTTATATAGGCGTCAGTGAATAGGGACGTGTAGCAGACGAGGGCATAACCAGATGTTGCACAAGTGTCTTAACTCTCATCTTGTCGATATTGTATACCTGTCTTGCACAATTTTTTTTTTCTCATGCACTGCATGTTGCAGGATTTTTTTATACTGTGCACACTGACCACTCAGACCCATTCTCTCATATGTAGGTCTACTAGCTTTCTCCTGCTAGATCTGAAGCTGCTAGAATTTTGGCGTAGTACTACAGCACCAACACTGGCTTGTAAGCCGTAGTACTACGGCACCAACAGTGAAAGGGTTAAGATTTGATCATATTGTAAATAGCTGGTATTTTGCATACCATTTTTGGGCATAATTAATTCCAGTACTGTTACTGTACAGTATTTTATAAGGTTGAACATAAGTAGTAATTATAGTTTAAGTAATAATAATGTAGTAAGAAAAAAAAATAACATTTCTCCAAATGAGAATATAACAAACCACACTGACACCTAGGTTCCTGGCTATCTTTGAAATGAAGTGGCCATGCCACGTGCAGCCTGGAGTTAAGAGGTTATTGCATGAACTCAGTGATGATAATCTCTCAGGCTCAAGTCAGGGTGAAGGAAAAGGAGAAAACTAGAGAAAAGGGGCATTTACCTCAATTGCTGCCTCCACCTGCTCATTGAGAAATGGTAGTAGATAGGCCTAAGCACAAAGGCCTAAACCTTTGACATAACCAAACAAAATAATTTGAATTTTGGTAAGTTCTGGTTCTCAGGATAGTGTTGTGTGTACTATGAGCAGTAGGCATTCTCCCTGATTGTTGAATCTAGCAAAACTGTATTACAATAGTACCAAATGTAGTTCCATGGGCCTCATATAATTGACTCAGAGAAGTGCAAACACTATAAACACTTACACTTTAATGACTAAGAAGCATAAATTTAAAAAGAGAACTGGGCATAAAAAAGTATAAAACTGCATTTACAAGTAATAGTGCAGTACCTTATTCTGTTTTCTATAATCTTTCTGCCAGATATCACATCCTCTTGCACAATCACAAGTTGTCTACAAAATTTCAAGATTCCTTAAACTGTAATTTACACAATGTATAATCACAATCCATCCATAAGATTTCAGGGGACTATTATGCAAATTAGTTATACTATACAATAAACACTTCCCTGTAGAGCAAAACGTTGTTGCAGTATAATGACAAATTAGTTGCATATGTCCTTTTACCTTGCATTGTTAGTAATTATACCAATGTTGGCCCCTGGGAGTTGGTTCCCAGTCCTGTTTTCACTGTTCTCTTAAAAGGAACACAGTTCGCAGTAGCCATACGAGTTTGCTTGATAGCTACACACTTTTCCGCCTTTAAGAACTAGCGAAAATAGCAACATAAATCTTGTTGGCACTTAAAACAAACTCAAGAATTCATACCCCATGTTCCAGCTATAGTAGTTCCTCTGTGTCCACAGGGAATACGTTCCAACACCTACTGTGGATAGTGAACCCTATACTATGTGTAATTTTTCATTTATATACTCACCTATGATAAAATTTAACCCGTAAACGGTCCAAGCAGATCTACGTTCACATGTGTAGTGCTACAAAAGTAGATCTAAGTTTTTTTACATATTTTCAAATATAACAAAAAAAAAAAAGTTGATCAAAGTTTTTTACACATTTTCAAATGTAGAAAAACAAAAAGAAGATCTACTTTTTTTACATACTTTCAAATGTTGAAAAAACGTATATATACGTTTGGACCGTTTACGGGTTAATTGATAAATTATGCAAAATAATTCTATAATTAGCACTTTCACTGATGGGAAGCATTTCACAGCTTCTCTTAGGCTTTGAACAACTGCCACTATCACTTCTTTTGCACTTTGGGGCCATTATTAAGCAAAATCAATGGTTATTTTTGGGCCACAGTAAACAATGTACAGTGGCACCCCGAGTTTCGAACTGCTCCCAACTCGACCAGTTATGTAAGTATATTATTGTAATTGCTTTTGTAAGTGTATTTTTAGGGGGTCTGAAATGGACTAATCTAATTTATATTATTCCTTATGGGAATAAATTCGCTCGGTAACGGCACTCGAACAGCCTTCTGGAATGAAGAAAGTTCGAAACTCGGGGTACCACTGTATAACTGAAACCGTGGATACTGAATTCATGGATATGGGGGTCCTACTTTATAAACTTTATTCTAATACTTGTACAATAATATGTACAATATTAAAATCAACCCAAAAATACTTGCACACTAAACAAAGTATATTTGATGAAATAATAAAATTTACTAGGTTTGATACAAAATTGCTGGAGTATCTGAGCAATTGAGGATTGTGAAGCTTAACTCTTCATGACTTGTGCTACACTGTGAATCTTTATTGTGGAAGTGTTTTGTCATCCAGTGGCTTCATCAATCCAATACAGAGAAAAACAGTGGAAGATGTTAAGGAGTTTGAGGTAATCAGTCCTTCATCCAGGAGATGTGTTCAGTCCATCAATCTTGATAAAAATTCAGCATATGCATGGATAAGGGGTTGATATACTGGAAACAGGCAAGAAGCAATTGGAGGCAACAGCACTGGTGGACAGAATCCACTAGTTGGTCATGCCAATAGGTTAGACAAGCATAGAAAAATTCTCTGTACTAAGATTTCATAATGTTGCCATGGTAGTAGATAAACTGCATTGTGTGATACTTTTGATCTGACTTTTTTAAAATTTAAACATTAAGAGTGTAACACCCCACTCCCAAAGTGCATTAACAGCAATCTGGAGCTTTGATTTTTTTTTTTATATACCGTTTTAATTACAAGTTAAGCTATCATCCTACTTCAGCTTAAATCAAATGTAAGGTACATTACCTCAGGGAGGTTCCTAGATGCTGATGAGGGGCACTTGATTCAAGGAATCAGAATTAACCTCTCCTTCCTTGGGTCAGATCAAATTACCTCCCATTCCTCCATGTATTGTCTGACCCTTACAGGTTTAGTTCTTCCCCATGAATAATAAAAATGAAGGGTTCTTGATCCAAGGAATTGGACCTAACTTTTCCTTGGATTAAACCTGATTGCCACTTATTTCTCCAGATACTATATAATCCCTATGGTTTTAGCCTGTTCTCTCAAATATTATAATAATGTACCTAAGAGTCTTGTGCTGATTAACTCATATGGGCTTGGGATCCTGGGGTGGTAGTATACATAAGATATGGCTGAGCTCTGCATGACCCTCCTCCATTTAGTGCTTTCTTTGATTATAATTGAAATGAGCTGAGGTCGGATAACAGCTCTTAGCTTGCAAAACTGATTTGTGCTAAAAACTCCTGAGTGTTGTATACCTGAGCATCTGGGAAAGTCACAAGAGGAAACTTAAAACTAAATCTTGCTAGCAACTGTGTTTGTGGTTTTAACACAAATTATACGTTTCTGATTGTGGCTGACTTTGAAAACTTTTGTAAAAGCAGCAGTGGTTTCTGGGTGCTCTCAATGTGCAAAGTGAGACTGTATAGAAACCGCATTTAATTATAGAATGTGAGAGCAATTTTCTAGGTAACTCCAACATTCCAGCACAAAGTGAGAAAGATTCAGTGCACAGTTTGTATATACCTAAAGATGTGTAGGTGAATATACATTTGAGAGGTGTACCTGTCAGCACATATACACCCTGGTATATATATCTTATTAATGTGTTGTGTTCTTGTTCCAAAGAATTGGGGCTGCTCTTTTCTTTGAATGGAATCTGATTGCTTCCTATTTAACAAGGCACTGCAACTCCTATGTGTTTAATGCTTCCTTCATGAAATTTCTGTATATACAGTGGTGTATCTCTTGGTGCACCCTGAAAGGGAAGTATCTGGATGCAAATGAGAGGGGTCCTGTATCTTAGGAACTGGACCTGATTACACCTTCCTTTAATCGAACCTGATTGTCTCCGAGTCACCCAGGCACTGCATGGCTCCTACAGATCTCCGAAGTTGCATTCTCAAGTTACACTGACAAAGGTTTGTACCCGCTCGAATGAAGTATTCGTAAATTATTGCGGGAAATCCGCTATTTCAATTTAATTAATTTTGAGTAAAATTGGCAATCTGGTATTTACCTACACAGCCTAAACCTGTCTCAAAGTAAGATACACCAGCATTTAAAGTTTGAAGCTAATCACAGTGCTGTATGACCCTGATGGGTTCAGCACTTAGTTTTGAATATAATAATACTGATCAGAAGAGGTATTCTCCAGTTACTGCATGGAAACTAATTTGTTAAAAAAAATGGAAAGTTAAAACTTGCACAATCCAAAAACAATGCAAATTATGGGGAAGCGCTAAACCCGTAGGGATCATACAGCGCCTGTGGAGTGGGGGGGGGATGAAAGGCATTCAGGCTTATATCAATACAAAGCTTACTTTGTGGAAGGCCCCTCATGGAAGGTTCCTTGATGTTGGTGAGGGGCTCTTGATTTAGGGAATTGAATCTGTGCTCCAGTTCCCCGAATTAAGCCTGAATGCCTTCCACATCCCCCCCTGGGCGCTGTATAATCCTACGGGTTTAGCGCTTCCCCCTTGATTATAATAATAATTTGTGGAAGGCATATCAGGAAAAACAGTTTAGCGCTTACTAATGAAGATGATACTAGGAATATAATTATGGCCATTCTAGCTGTATAGTCCTTGTGACTTAGCGCTTCTTTTTGATTATAATAATAATAATATGGCCATTCTTCAGTTATCGAACACAGCTCAATAATTCCAGGTATATTAGTATACTGGAAAATTTGCACCTACACACCTTAAACCCAAAAGGTATCTTTTCACAAGATGCATCAGCCATTAATGACTGAATGGATTCCAAAAAAACACATACCCAAGCTACATGAAGCTTTCCCTAGTTACAATACACTAATGTTGAAAATTTAAAGATGATCACATGATGCATTCTCAAACTACAAACGACACACAAAATATATTTTTATGTGCAGTATAAAAATGTAGTTTACATGTAATAAAACGTTGTTAACTGTTAAGCATATAAAAACATTATGAACGAAATCCTTGGAGATTAAAAAATCAGGAAACCACTTTCAGGCACCTCTTCCTAGATATTTAATAATACAGGGGGAAAAAAACCTTAGGTATAAATAATAGTGGTCCATGTTCCGGGAGTGAAGTTAGTGGTGTGGACTAGCATAGAACCACAGGAATGTACCAGAGGCTGACCGCTCTAGCCTGAGGGAGGATCACTACCATAATGGCTGTCTGCTGCTCCACTTATTCGTATTTTCTACCTCCAGACAACGTGCTCCTCGCTCAGTCTTTCAGATTACGTGCCGCTGGGTCTAGGTCAGCTACTGGATGGGTGAGTACGTGGTACAGCCTCGTCCTTGGCCAGGGGTGACCTCATGGAATTAAAAATTTATTTGCAGGATCAAATTTGAGCTACGTTTTTGTTAAGATAAGATTTCGCTCGGATTTTTAAGAACGAAGGGTTAGCCGCCCTGGATAACCCAAGAAAGGCAGTGCGTCATCAAGGACTGTCTCTTAATTCCATTGGGGTCATCAATCTTGTCCCCCAGGATGCGACCCACACCGGTCGACTAATACCCAGGTACTTTCTTGCTGCTAGGTCAACAGGACAATAGGTGTAAGGAAACGCGTCGAAATGTTTTTACCCCGCCGGGAATCGAACCCGGGCCCTCCGTGTATGAAGCAAGAGCTCTGCCAGCCAGGCTATAAAATCTTATGGATCATACGACGCTGGGAAGTGAGAGGTGCTCAAGTTTAATCCAAGGAAGGGGAGGTAGCTCTCAGTTCCTTAGATCACGAGCTCTACATCACCATGAAATCACTCTCAGGCCCCCTTTGAAGGGCTTATCCTATAAAGATATTTTTCGAAGAAAACAAGGATTATATATATATATATATATATATATATATATATATATATATATATATATATATATATATATATATATATATATATATATATATATATGACATGATGTCATCCCACCGCAGTGACTCATGAATGGTATCACAGGTGAGAGCTCTACATGTTGGAGGTTTTCCCAAATGACTAAGATGATATGTACACCTCTCGGTGTATTTAGCGCTTCCCCCTTGGTTTTAATAATAATAAATAATAAATTCTCGGTGTATATATCCTGGCCTGGTGGCTAAATCTCCGTTTCACACACGGAGGGCCCGGGTTCGATTCCCGGCGGGTGGAAACATTTCGACAAGTTTCCTTACACCTGTTGTCCTGTTCACCTAGCAACAAATAGGTACCTGGGTATTAGTCGACTGGTGTGGGTACCCATAGGTTCTGAGATGTGGTTGTTTATAGTTTGGTAAGGTACTCTCCACAAGTAGAAAAAGCATTAATACATCTTAAATTTTTCTTAATATGTGTTAACACAGATTCGATTCCCGGCTAGTCGCAGTATTGTTAATTGCTTTAAAACCACTTGTTCGTGGATACATTAATTCGTACCGCTCGTAAAGACTGGTATTCCAAACGGGAGTAGAATGAAATTAATTCTGTGCTTACCACATCCACGTATGTACTCGCATCAGGAGTGACATGTCCAGTGGTACTGGGCACCTGTTGTTTGTAGTATTGATGGTTCAGTGGTTAGAGCGTCGTGGATTTTGGCTGGCTTCCCACGAGGCGGGCTAAAATAACACGGGTTCGATCCCCGGATAGTCACAGTATATAATATATATATATCTTACAAGTGATGCTGGAGAAGAGAAAGACGAGACAATTGCGTAACATTTATTCCCTATAACAAAGTAGTGTATAAACACGATCACTATTACGAGCACAGGTGATCCTTGGTTAGTTCCAGTACTATACATACGCATTGGTACATGTCCTAATAACAAAACCATACGCCTATATACATTGCTCCAGTACACGCCGTGTGTATATGTACACTGCTTGAGCCGATAAAATAACCTACAAATAATAAGCCACTTTCAATGTACAGCTGAAACTGACAGAAATTCGCTACTGCCTTTATAAATGATATTTACATGCGGATCAGCTCTATCTATATATATGTATATGAATATAAAGCCCGGGGCATTGCTATCCTCCAGGCCGGTATTCCAAAAAACAGTTCCTGAAGGCCAGTGCTTGAGGATCAGTTTTAATAGGCGATTATACCTCTTAAATAATACTCACACTTAACACTCAAGCACTGACTGAGCAACTCAAGAGGTTGTATGGGAATTTGACTGATGATATATTGGTGAAATATAGCCATGTAAATGAAAAAATATATATATATACCCTTATTAATATGCCATAGTTTTAATATATACATTTTATGGGCGTACATGACAGCTCCAGTGAGTTAGTTAAGAGAGGCTCCTTTCATGACAACTCAAGGATATATACACTGGGAGGTATATAATATATATATATATATATATATATATATATATATATATATATATATATATATATATATATATATATATATAAGATGTATATCTTTCAATGTGTGTATATATACCGGGAGATGTGTATATATACGCCGGCATGTGTATGTTTATATACAGAGTGCGTATTTCTGAGTATATACACACAGTTGTGCATCAGTGTATATACATGTAGACGTGTGTGTATACTGTATATATCCCGAGGAGTGTGTATCTTTCAGTACATATATACCGAAAGGTGTGTATCTCGCAGTGTATATACACAGAGTTTACTTTAATCTTTATCCAAGGCATGAAAATAGCCTTGACGTGGTGAACAGGTGATATCCAGTCCAACCTTAAAATGCCTATTGCGTAGTCGATAGGCTTTAAGCCTATAGACCACCCAACCACAACAACTGTCAGCGCTTTGATTTCCCTTCAAGGAAAAAGGGGGATGGGGGGGGGTTGCCTTTTTGCTGGTCAAGGCCTCTTGATTCAAGGAAGGGAAGAATATCTATTTCTTTGGATGTCAAGCTCTTCACCGGCACCGAGACACCCTCCCTTCCCCTTATATGCGCAGCCATGCAAACAATATATACCTCAAGTTATACAACTTAGACGACAAATATACAGATTAAAGTGTGTTATACATACTAGAGTACATGTAGTATACAGTAAAACCTAGCATGTTCCTGTAATATATATATATATATATATATATATATATATATATATATATATATATATAATATATATATATATATATATATATATACGTATATATATATATATATATATATATATATATATATATATATATATATATATATATATATATATATATATATATATATATATTATATATATATATATATATATATATACTGTCACTAGTAAACAGTATAGACAGACCTTGTATAGCAAGCCATCCTCACCCAAGCCTGCAGATCTCAACGTTCCCTGGGCTTGTCCATACGCCATGATGGGGTGAGGTAATGGTATAAAATACCCACAAAATAAGACACAGACACACATGCAGTTACATGAAAGCTTAATGACGTTGCGAACACACACGGACGAAAATTGTCAATCAGGCTTCAACGTAACTATTCCTCAAACATGACGCTGTCAGACGCCTTTTTAGTTTACTTAGGCCTGATCAAATAGGTTTATGTAACCTCAAGTTACATAATTACAGGGAACGTTCAGAAACTGACGCTTGGAAACACTCAAGGAAACCAACATATACGAGAATAAGCTGCAACTGTTGCAAGGTCCGTGTCAACATGCTGAAAAGGGTAACTACTGTATATGGACTCAATATTCAGATTTCTCATATTTTCATTATCATTATTATTAATAATGCTATCATTAATATTAATATTACATATTATTATTATTGTGGCGGAGCTTACGGGCTGAGGTTTGAGAAACTCAAATTAGGAGAGTGAATTGCATAGAAGAATGATTCTCATGGCACGGATAGCTCTCTACTACGGGTTATACTTTGTATATACACCGAGATGTATAAGTTTCTCAGTATATATGTACTGAGAATTTATCTTAATCAGTATTTTAGGGATTAACGTGTTCTTGACTGGCAGTGAATAATTATATACAGCCTTAAATAACAAAAAAGGCACAATACCGTGACTGGAACGATACACAAATATCCTAGTCGGACCGAAACGTCGTCGTAAGCTCCTCTCTTCTATGTGCGGGATATTTGTGTATATACAGCCTTAATGACATTCGTGAAGCCGATAGGCTTTAAACCTCATTAACCAGTCAACCTTTATTAATCTCCCCAGGCTCCCTCAATGAATATACGCGGAGTTTACCCTAATTCCTGTTTTAGGGATTAAGGTATTCTTAACTGGTGTACAGGTGATATGCAGTCTTAATGTCCAGTGCGTAGTCGCTAGGCTTTCAGCCTAATAAACTAATCAATTTTCTTACACAGCACAAACTTTCTCACAAGTTATATAATACACGTACAAGATGGTGATGCAGGTGTGTGCGTGGATGCGGGCGTGGGTGAGTGCAGGCGTGAGTGTGGGTGTGGGAGAGAAAGCACTGCCCAATTTTAAAATATATTAGGATGTAATGGGTAAGGAGGGCATGGAGACAGGAAGTCACAACTCTGGGAGGGAGGCAGGGCAGCTTCACCGGAATGCACGGCTCTCTGATTACGTCGTTTTCTCTTAATTATTTGTTACGTCAAATAATTTAGTCAACACAAATAATTAGAGATAATAGATCATTAACTGTAGACAAATTCAGATGTAGTACTGGACACCCTTTTGGGGCCTAGTACTTTAGCCTTTTGTGTATCCATATGCTCTTGCGCTACCGTCCACGGGATGGATATGACCAGCACAATAAACTAGCCACTTCGGCGGCAAAATCTGAATCTTTTGTGACACACGCACACATCAGTGGGAACATGGTGATGACGCAAAGAGTACTTGGAGGGCAGGAATACTGTTCGAGACCCGGGAAACGGGTGCACGAGAGTACTTGTAGAAGCTACAAGATCATAAAAGGGCTACAGGGATGTAACTTTTCTTAAGCCTTAGCGTAGTCAGGATACTGAATGACCTGGATGATGAAGTCGTGATTTGGGAGACTACATTCACGGGTTTAAGAATAGGTATGACAGGGCCAACCCTGCTCACTAAAATATTTATTCAACCTATTTTTAAAACCACTCAAAATTTAAGCTAGTCCTGCCTCTTCACGTCAGTGAAGAGGCAGGACCCCTACAACCACAAATAAACGAGTACACTGGAGACAGCTAGGCTGAGAGGACCAGGTATGATACACTAGACATGAGCCACAGCAGCCCGTCTTTTCACAATCGTTAACATTTCACTGTTGTAAATTATTATTATTATTATTATTTTTATCAAAAAGAAGCGCTAAGCCACAAGGGCTATACAGCGCTGCTTCACTGTTGTAAAGACAGTGGAAATCTGACTTGGAGTTATGTCTGTTTTGCCCAGTGGCTGCCCGCGTGGTCTCAAGACAAAACTTTTTATCTCATTTATTTAATGTAGTAAGTGTCAGGGGCCAAAGACTGTTCAACTGCCTCCCATTATACATAATCCAGATTACCAATAGACCTCTAGCTGTCTTCAAGAGGGAGATGGACAGGCACCTAAAGTCAGTATCTGACCAGCGGGGCTGTGGATCGTACGTTGGATTGCGTGCGGCTGGCAGTAACAGCCTGGCTGATCAGACCCTGATCCACTGTGAGACCTGGTCATGGACCGGGTCGCGGGAGCGTTAACCCCCAGGTATACTCCAGAAAATTTGCTGAAAATCCTATATGAGAGATCCACATAGATGCTTTGAATAATAATGGACTTTTATTAAAACATGTAATAAAACGTTTTCCTAAAACTGCAACCATACATACATACACCGAGAGATGTATTTCTCTCTCTCTTTAATCCCTAATTTAGGGATTAAAGTGTTCCTGCCAGGTGGTGACGAGGTTGCGTACAGCTTTCAGAGACACGTAAGTTCCTCGTCTTCTAATAACATGTTCATTTTTCCACTATAATCTACCTTGTCCATAACAACTATCGCATTTGCTTTGTCTGTTTTGTAAGGTGAAGTCCAGGATCTTTCTTTAATTCATGGTATAACTTAACAAATCTTTGAGGGCAATTGTGTTGCAATAAACCCCATTACCCATCCATGCAAATTGTAAAGCCACCCAATGTAAGCTCAATGTATTCTGATGAGATAAACATGTCTGTCTCTAAGAGGATGATGATGGGTTACCCGGGGAGACGTCAGAGAGTATTTCCTCGGTCTCAGGCTGGTTGAATGACCTTGACGAGATAGAGGCATCTTCCATGCATAGTTTCAAAAGTAATTATGAAAGCACTGTAGGCCAGACTCCAGTAGATTATAATATTTATGTGGAAGTGTTAAACCCAAGTGTCCTACAGCTCCTGGGTAACTGAAAGTAATCAGGTTTGGGCCCAGGAAAGGGAGGATGGATTTAACTCCTTGACTCAAGAACCCTTCATTGACATCAATGCATATCCCCTTGAGGAGGCAGGGCCTGGAGCTATGCCTTGATCCTCCACAAACGGAAGTAGGTGAATACATACAAGTGAGCACATAGAAGTACAGATAAGTACATTAGTGTATTATTGTAGTCAGGGAAAGCGCTAAACTCGCACTGATGGTAGCACCCTGCAAGAGCGACAACAACACCACTCACTGCAGCGGAAAGTACTTTAAAATCTAACAATAACTAAAGCAACGTTCCTTAGACTGTGACCCACATTACGGTGAAAATGAGAGCGAAGGGACATGTCGGGTTCCGGGTCAGCCAGACAGTTATGGGGGGTGGTGGTGGTGGTTGTTGGTGAGGTGGTGGTGGTTGCGTATTGTTGTTGTTGTGGTGGTGACAGGCTGTGCTAGTAGGTGTGGTGGTGACAGGCTGTGCTAGTAGGTGTGGGGGTGACAGTGTGGTTTGCAAGGTAGTGGGCGTGGTTGGGGGTTTAGTGGATGGCGAGATTGGGCGGGGTGGCCCTAGTACCAGGTTGCACCATCCTCCCTCAGCGTGCTTCCTTCATCCAGGTACGCTGCTGCTGCTGTTGTTATTGCTGCTGCTGCTGGTACCTGCAGCGGCCAGGATCTGCTTCATGCACCACCCATGTTTCTATTTACTTATTCATAAGAGAATATCAGGTGACGTAGCACATGATGGTGACTCAATGGGACGTGATGGCCCACTCATTGGGGCGTGATGACCCACTCAATGGAACGTGATGAGACCCACTCAGTGGGACGTGATGACCCACTCAATGGGATGTGATGGCCCACTCAGTGGGATGTGATGACTCAGTCAAATGAGCCAGAGACCCTCTGGTCTTGTCGGTATATCTTGGTTTCAGTCGGAGACCATCAGATGAAGAGGGCCTCCGATTGACGCCGAAACAGAAATTTCTGACCCGTCTTTCATATTACGTCCAAGCAATTAGTCACTTTGCATCGCTCAGCGTTAGTGCTATTTTAATTCAAACACTGATATTTCAGCAAGAAATAGCGACGGGTCACCATCCGGCAAACACCCGTATCAGGACTTCGTTCCTGGCGAATATTTAAAAAAAGCGAGGAATATCTTGACCGCTGCTTCACGTAGCGTGCTTTGATACCTTGGCATTCTGAGATTACGACTACACTTAGTCTATACACCAGTGTGTACCCTCGGTGTATACACTAGTGTGTATTCTCGGTATGTACACTATTGTGTACACTCAGTCTTTACACCAGTGTGTACACTCAGTCTATACTCGAGTGCGTTACATATACACACCAGTGCGTATACGGAAGTCTATACACCAGTGAGTATACTAAAGTCTATACAGCAATACATATACTAAAGTCTATACACCAGTGTATATACTAAAGTCTATACACCAGTGCATACTAATGTATGTACAGTCACTAATGCCTAACTGGCGGGACGAAACGTGCGCTGCGCGTTGCTGGTTCCGAGCACATGCTCTGTGGACGCTGGTGGTTCCTGAGCGTACGTGTCATGTCCGTTCCATAGCGCATGTGCACTCTCCGTAGATGGTCCCCGAGTCCCGTAGTAGTAGTAGTAGGCTGGCCGACGCTCCCTCCACCTGGAATTATAATATTTATTTTAGACACGAGCGCATCATCAAATCCGAACTTTACGTGGAGTCAATAAATGAAAAAAATATTAAATTCTGTATTTGGCCATTCAGTGGATAGGAGAATACTGAATACTATTTTTGGAGATTCAGTAAGTGGAAGAATATATAATTCCATGTTTATAGATAGAAAAATATCGAGTTTAGTTACATATTCAACAGATGGAAGAATGTTGAATTCCATGTTTACAGATTCAGTAGATGTAAGGATATTAAACTACGTACTTACAGATTCAATGGATGATAGAATATTGAATTCCATGTTTACAGATTCAGCAGATAGAAGGACATTAAACTCTGTGTTTACAGATTCACCAGATGATAGAATATCGAATTCCGTGTTTACAGATTCAATAGATGATAGAATATCGAATTCCGTGTTTACAGATTCAATAGATAGAAGAACATTATGTTACTATTGTAAATAAAGAACAAACAGAGGTGTATAGACACTGGTGGCCAGAGTGATAAGAAAATAAAGGCCGGTGCTGCTCACACCCAACCCTTTTCATGTATTGAATAAAAACTCACAATACTTTGGCTGGAACAATACACACTTAAGAGATTAAAACTTATGTATGACGATGTTTCGGTCAGATTCGGACCATTAACAAGTCACACTTGTGGATGGTTCAAGTCGGACCGAAACGTCGTCATTAGTTTGCATCTCGAAAGTTATTTGTATCTTCTAATGAATTTTTTTAACCCCTTGCGGACAAGGGGCCCAACACTGACTCGTGTGGAACGCCACTTGTGTCAACAATGTTATACTCTTTATTCATGCTTATCTGTTGTCTTTCAGTCAACTAGGCCTCAATCGAGAAACTAATTGTGACGGTTTCTCCAGTACTAATACAAACATACACAGCTAAATTACAGACATATATAGTACACTGGGGTCAGGTTAAATAGTTTTTCCTCCATTACCCTGCCCTGCCCATTTCTTCGCCTCTTTCCTAAGTCAGTAAGTACTCCAGACGTAAAATGTGTGTAGAGAATGATAAATACATTATATCTTCAATGCAAAAGAATACGTGAATATTTAGGTAAGATCACTGACATTCATGAGGAATCTAAACACGTTGTGATTCAGCTTCGTGGTAACATCTAACACCCATACACAGAATCTGTTAGTGATAATTTATAATGGTGGTAATACCTGAATATTGCAGCTGGAACTGATAATGCCTATGGTGGATCAACTATTTATTGGACAGTACTACTCACAGCATGAGTGGCACTTCCCAATGCTGTCCTTAAGGCAGTATGTCAACTCACAGGATGAGTGAGGCTGTCTAAGAAATTCCACCTTCAGGACAAAATGTAAAAAAAAAAAAAAAAAAAAAAAAAAAAAAAAAAAAAAAAAAAAAAAAAAAAAACTTGCGTAACACTGACATTTATATTTGACTTTCTTGTCGAAAATACGAAGTTATCTAGGTGGTTTATGGACCTCCCGCCGATCACTGGGGTAACATTAATATCTGAACATGTTTTGTTTTTCATTTAATAGTTCTGACCAGGGCTGGACATGCTGCTTAACAAAATGGCATATATTAGATACAACGCAGTGCTCGGATGCCATTTACTTAACATTTAAACACTTCCAGCGGAAGTTTGCTAACATAATGACATGTCGCACAGAATATAAATTCCAGTAGGACTGGAGGTACTAACGAAGGATACACAATCTCCAGCAGGACTGGAGGTACTAACGAAGGATATATAATTTCCAACAGGACTGGAGGTACTAACGAAAAATATATAACTTCCAGCAGGATTGGAGGTACTAACGAAGAATATATAATTTCCAGCAGGACTAGAGGTACTAACGAAGGATACGTAACCTCCAGCAGGACTGGAGGCACTAACGAAGGATACGTAACCTCCAGCAGGACTGGAGGTACTAACGAAGAATATACAACTTCCAGCAGGATTGGAGGTATTAACATATTTGTACAGTGGTTGTTTTCCGGATACGACCTACAACAGTCAGCTAGCACACAGGCCAGGAGCCACGACACGACCCCTGAAACCACAAGTAGGTGAGTACACAGGTGCCTGGTTTTACTGTGAGGTGTGCAGGGGCAACAGAGGTAACTGGAAACATTGGCGGGGTGTGGTGTGGGTCACTGGGATTAACATCAAAATGGTATACAATACCGACAGGTTGTTAGGTAAGACACATATGCAACAGTTAGACAACTTTATTCCGAAACGTTTCGCCTACACAGTAGGCTTCTTCTGTATTCGACTGAAGAAGCCTACTGTGTAGGCGAAACGTTTCGGAATAAAGTTGTCTAACTGTTGCATATGTGTCTTACCTCACTGGGATTAGTTGAGCGGGGTGTAACTGGGGTGAGGATGATTGGACGCAGAGAAGGGGGGATTAAATATGATATTTGAACATAAGAACATAAGAACGAAGGAACACTGCAGCAGGCCTACTGGCCCATGCGAGGCAGGTCCAAGTCTCCTACCGGCTTAAGCCAATGCACCCAACCTAGTCAGGTCAGGTCACCTTGACTTAAGGGAGGAACACGGCAACCGTCCTGGTAGCACAAGCTAATCAGGTCCAACTCACACCCACCCACACCCACTCATGTATTTATTCAACCTATTTTTAAAGCTACACAACGTTCTGGCCTCTAGGACTGTACTTGGGAGTTTGTTCCACTCATCCACAACTCTATTACCAAACCAGTACTTTCCTATATCCTTCCTGAATCTGAATTTTTCTAACTTAAAACCATTGCTGCGAGTCCTGTCTAGGCTAGATATTTTCAGCACACTATTTACATCCCCTTTATTTATTCCTGTCTTCCATTTATACACCTCAATCATATCCCCCCTAATTCTACGTCTTTCTAGAGAGTGCAGATTCAGGGCCCTTAGTCTATCCTCATAGGGAAGGTTTCTGATACATGGGATCAACTTTGTCATCCTCCTTTGTACATTTTCCAGAGCATTTATATCCATTCTGTAATACGGTGACCAAAACTGTGCAGCATAATCTAAATGAGGCCTAACCAAGGATGTATAGAGTTGAAGAACAACCTGAGGACTTATTATTTATGCTTCTTGATATGAAGCCAAGGATTCTATTAGCTTTATTGCGAACACTTATGCACTGTTGTCTTGGTTTCAGATTACTGCTAACCAGAACTCCTAAATCTTTTTCGCAATCCGTAATATTAAGATCTACATTATTTAGTTTATATGTGGCACTGTTATTGTCCTGTCCAATATTTAGAACTTTGCATTTGTCTATATTAAACTGCATCTGCCACCTCTCCGACCACTGCATCAGTCTATTCAAATCTTCCTGGAGTGCTCTAATGTCCTCGTCAGAATGAATTCGACGGCCTATTTTGGTGTCATCGGCAAACTTGCTGATGTCGCTCTTTATGCCCTCATCTATGTCGTTTATGTATATTGTGAACAGCAGGGGGGCCAACACTGACCCCTGTGGAACACCGCTCGTGACGCTTCCCCACTCTGATTTCTCCCCATTTATGCAAACTCTCTGCTGCCTATTTGTCAACCATGCCTCTATCCAGGAAAAATTTTCTCCTCCTATTCCATGTGCCTTAATTTTCCTCAATAGTCTCTGATGTGGGACCCTGTCAAAAGCCTTACTGAAGTCCATATACACAATATCATATTCATTACCATGATCTACCTCCTCAAATACCTTAGTGAAAAAAGTTAATAAATTCGTAAGGCAGGAACGCCCCTTTGTAAAACCATGCTGAGATTCGTTGATTAATTTATACTTTTCAAGGTGGCTACGAACTGCCTCGGCAATTATTGATTCCATAAATTTTCCCACTATGGAGGTTAGGCTTATTGGTCTATAGTTCGAAGCTAAGGACCTGTCACCTGCTTTGAAAATAGGTATCACATTTGCCATTTTCCACTTATCTGGCACCATGCCAGTTTGTAGTGATATGTTGAAAAGATTAGCCAAAGGTTTGCTAAGCTCCTCTTTACATTCCTTTAGAACCCTTGCATACAGTTCATCAGGGCCTGGGGATTTGTTAGGTTTTAATTTATCTATTTGCCTAAGGACCATGTCACTTGTGACCCTAATCGTGCACAGTTTATTATCGTCCTGTTCCACATAATTTATCATTTCTGGAATATCGCTGGTATCCTCCTGTGTAAAAACTGAGAGGAAGTATGTGTTAAAACTTCTACACATTTCCTTATCACTGTCAGTGAGCTGACCCGAGGAACTTTTGAGTGAACCTATCTTGTCCCTGATCTTACTTCTGTATACCTGAAAGAATCCTTTTGGGTTAGTCTTCGAATCTCTTGCATTTGAAGGTGTGGTGAGCAGTGAGGGAGATGGGGGTGAGCAGTGAGGGAGATGGGGGTGAGTAGTAAGGGAGATGGGGTGCCCTGTGGGGGGGAGGGGAGGAATGTACAGGGTAAATCCCACTGTTAGTTAACGGAGCCCAAGGTGAACCACTCGATCCCCCCACCCCTCCACCAACACTATCACCACGCCTCCTCCAACACTACCACCACCCCTCCTCCAACACTACCACAACATCCTCCTCTAACACTACCACAACATCCTCCTCCACACTACCACAACATCCTCCTCTAACACTACCACAACATCCTCCTCTAACACTACCACAACATCCTCCTCCAACACTACCACAACATCCTCCTCTAACACTACCACAACATCCTCCTCTAACCTACACATCTCTCCACACTACACAACATCTCCTCACTCCAACACTAACTACCACAACATCCTCCTCTAACACTACCACAACATCCTCCTCTAACACTGCCCAACATCCTCCTCTCCAACAACATCTCTCTACACTACAATGCTTATTTGCATACTCTCCAACATCAGCCACCTCATCTTCTTACCCCATGCCCTACTTCTTCCCGTTATTCGTGGTGGGCGGCGATGGTGATGGTGGTGG